TTCCCTTCCCTTCACACCTCCTTCTCTCTCTCATACTTTCTTCCCTTTTTTCCCCCTCCCCTCGATCTTTCCTTCCTTCCTTCTCTTTTTCTTTCCTCCCTTTGACCATCCTTCCTTTTTTCTCCCCCCTCTCCCTATTTTTTCCATTCCTCCTCTTTTTTCCCCTCCTCTTTTCTTCCATCCCCCCTTCTCTTTCCTACCCTGTCTTTCCTTCCTTCCATTCTTCGCTCTCCTCCCTTGGTGTGCATTCATTTTGCTAAGGCCACACACTTCTGTAACCGCCGGGAAACACCCTCCCGCACACACACCCCCGCCTCCCTCCGGACTGACCACCTGGGAACTGACCTTGCCACAGAGACCCAGACTGACCCTAGGCTGCTGGACGTGTGACTTTCCCTGGCGGTCAGTCCAAGGTTGCTGTTCCAATCCTCCCTGGGGAGATTGTGGCACTTCCTGGGGAGATTCTGGATTTTTTTGGGGGGTGGGGGGAGAATCCTTTCAGACGGGCGGCGTGATTTATTTGGGGGACACCAAAACCTGCCTTCAAATCCCCAAGACCCCCCCTCTCTCCCCCCCCCGGATATATTCCTTTTTCCTTCTCTCTGGAAACCTGGGGGCGTATTTATTGTCTTCTACCTCTTGTAGAGTCAACCAAAAACTTTATTTAAACAGTAAAATTGTGGAAACAACAATAGTTTGTATATTTACAATCCTCTTTCAAGAGGGACACCAGCAAAAGGTTTATTTACAGAAGGGAAGTTAATTTTATTAACCCCCCCCAAAAAAATGATCACCGTCCTTCTTCTCAGCAGGACGGTCCTCGGTTTATGACCTGGTCATTAAACAACCATTCAAAGTTACTACAGAATCATTTATAAGTCACCGCTCCGTTCAAGTAGTCCTTGACTTACAGCCTTTTCTTTAGTGACCGTTTGAACTTACCACGGGCACTGAAAGGTGTGGCTTATGACCTTTTTCACACTTTACGACGGTTGCAGCATGCACACACAAACGCACCCGTGGTCACGTGATCAAAAATTCAGACGCTTGGCAACTGACTCATATTTATGACGGTCGTAGTGCCCCAGGGTCACGCGATTCCCCTTTTGCGACCTTCTCACGAGCAAAGTCTTAATTGGGGAAGCCAGACTCATTTAATGACCATGTGACTAACTTAACAATTGTGGCACAAGGAAAATCGTAATATTGGGTAAAACTCGCTTAACAACCGTCTTAGCAATGAAAATGTTGGGCTCAATTGTGGTCGTAAGTCAAGGACTGCCTGTATTTTACTTATTGGCTTTGTGTGCTCATTTTGAGGAAACTATATACGGCTGTCCTCAAACTTACAACAGCCACATGACAACCAGCCCTGTGATTGCATTTCACGCATCTGGTAACTGTCTCACACTTATGTCCAGTTGCACTGTCCCATGGTGACTGTGCTTTGCAACGTTTTTTGCCATTTTTCCAGGAAAAAAGAACCATTGCATAAAATGTTTGCCCTTTGACCGGGTGGTTCACTTAAGGACAGTGGTGACTCACTTAATGACAGCATAAAATTGAGTCTGGGAGTTGAAATCCACCCATCGTGGGCCAAGGCTCTGAAACACCATTGTGGAGTGCTGGGTAAACCAAGATAATCTGCAACTGAATCTCAGCTTGTGAGGTGAGTGATAGCAGCCATTCCGATTAATTAACTATGGTTTATGGCTTGCCCAACACAGCTTGTCTCATTTTGTGGAAATAATAAAATTCAAGGGAAGCAGGAAGCAAACTCAGTCCTGCAGAAATGTTCTGGCCGGACGGAGCTACGGGAAGCAAATTGTAGCAGCCAGGGGAGGTCAAATAAGTCAAAATGGCAGCCACACCCCTGTGGCTGAAGTCCATCCTCTTGGTAAAGTGGGCATCTCTGGATCGTCAGCCCCAGAGTTAAACCTCAGATTCTGTGAAAATAGGTTGGGGGAGGTTGAGGGTTCAGCGTCTTGTGGGAATGTGGGCCCAGGGGTGTGGACAAGCCCACCCAACCACCGCTTGGAGCCACCCAGGGGCTCGTTTGGGTAACAAACTGGGTTTGTTAAGCCATGTTCTGCTGGGGGTCAGCCAGGGTCCAGCATGTGGTGAGAGTCACATCGGGGGTCAGCCCTGATCAAGGTTCCATCATGAGGTTGGCCCAGACAGGAAGGAGAATGGCCAGTGTGCAGTGTGTGTGTGTGTGTGTGTGAGAGAGAGAGAGAGAGAGAGAAAGGGAGGGAGAGAGAGAGGGAGAGAGAGAGAGAGAGAATGAGAAACAGAATGAGAGAACGAGGGAGAATGAAAAAGAAAGAATGAGAAAACTCAAGAAGAAAGAATGAAATATAGAAAGATGGGGAGGAAGAATGAAAGGAAAAGAAAGAACAGATAGAAAAGAGTGAGAAAGAATGAAAAAGTGAAAGAATGGGAATGGGAAAGAGATTGAGAGAGGAAGAATGAAAGAAAAAGGAAAAATGAAAAAGGAGAGGATGAAAGTAAAATAGAGAATGAGAGAAAAAAGGAGAGAATGAGAGAGAGGGAGACTTGGGTTGACCAACCGGAAGGACCCTA